GATGGGATAAATGCAGAGCACTAATTCCGAGTATGGGTCACCATACTTGGCCACATGTCACGTCACTCACTTAAAAATTGTCTTTGATCTTTCAAGCTGTTTAATGCCACTCAGCGGGTGTTGCATTGCTTCAGTCCAAAATAACTTAAATAAAAATCACCCATCCATAAAAAAAAAGTGTCTCGCACGGCTCCGGGGGGTGAACAAAGTCCTTCTGTAGCGAATCGATGCATTTTTGTAAGAAAAATATCCATATTCAAAACGTAATAATCACTTGAATCTAACTTGCGCTCACTGTTGTAAACAGAAGCTGTTCCGGGGGAATGACGTATGAGGTCAGCTTTGCGCATGCGCCGCTCAGAACATGTGGTTGACGCGTAAACGCAGGGGAGAGATCAAAACAAAACAACGGTCAAGAATTAGAAGTACAAAACGAGGATTTGTAAAGAAGAATGTCAGAGGATTTCGATATCAGCCAAGAGGAGACTGGTTTTCCTTTGCTAAAGTAAGGAAACTTTGCTTCTTTTGATCCTGTAAAGAAACGTTGTCTTTCAATAGACGCACCGGCGCATGCGCAACGCTCACCTCATACGTCATGCTCCCGGAACTGCTTCTGTGTACACCTGTTGGCGCAAGCTACATTAAAGTGATTATTATGTTTTGAATATGGATATTTTTTATCAGAAAGACCATGCATTCACTTCATTGTCTGTGCAAAAGTTGTAAAATAGTTGTAGTTGTTGTCAGGATGACAGGAAGAGGGATTGCATTTAAAAATTGAATTTACTTAATTGAAATTAAAGTAATTCAGCACAGGTGCATTAACTTCAAGGTTTTTTAAACTTATATGCAGTACATGTATTCAATATAATTAGTTATTCACAATAAATTTAATTTGCATGTACACACAGACCCACAAGCACATATTTACATATATATATATTATTAAATTAATGTATGTAGGCTATATATAGGTATTTTGCCATATACACAAATAAGTTAACAAACCTGCTATCAAGGAGTGCATTGAATGGACTTGGTACGTTAAGCTTTACTTTGTTTCCTGATCAATAGATAAAAACTCATCCACTCTGATTCCCAGAAAGTGCACAGTCTTACTATTTTTGTGTAACATGCAACAGACAGTCTGTAATGGGTCCATGTCTGGTCTGTGGGTGTGCAGTCCGAGTCTACACATGAGCAGGCCATATGCTAGACCATTTCCAGACGCTTTACCTGCATGGCTTTTTTGAAGCTTGAAGCATCTACATAATTATCAAAGCATGTTAACATAAGCGAGACTGAGCAAAAGCAAATTATGAAGGATAAAAAAAACTGTGAGCAAGAGATACCCAATTTGTTCTTAAACCTTCTTTCAGGTTGGCCAATTTTCTTGTTTATGTGGATGAATTTACCCCTAGAGTCTTACATTAGAACACGTCTCTTTTCTCGGTTGGGATTGTGCACTTTAGCTTCCTTTTTCCTCAAAGACATTAAAACGACACGCCACATAGACAGACTTTTTAGAAAACCTTTCAGTGTTGCTCAGCAACGAGGAAACGTTTAAAAAAATGCAGGTCTGCCGGTCCTTTTCTCTTTTTTTTACATTATCTGAGGACTCGCACACTGACAGATGTAAAACGTTGACCGCTGTGAGCGTAAGGCGCACTAAAAGCAGAGGCATGTACTAGATGCTTTCTGTCGTAGAGCTTTAGTGCCTGGCTTCATGTGATATTTATTTCCCTGTCCTGAACTCTGAGGTTTACAGTGTGATGTTGAACAGACCTGCTGACAAAATGCTGCTCGGCGGTTCACGGACCAATGAAAGTCCAGTCCTAGAGAGTTCTGTGTAGGTTTAAACCATCTGTTCGTAAATTTAATACTAAGGTAAATGGGCTTTGTAAGTACTCATTAGATTGTAACCTGCTACAAATGGTTGCATCATTTTTTCTTAACTCAATAGTTAATCTTGTGGGTCATAAAATCTCTGTCAAGTGAAGAGTAATCACTTAATACGACATCTATCTTAATTGATCCAGCAGCGGCCTAATCTAGTTTATAAACATCAAGTCTTGTAGTATTTCAGTGTACAATTTATATTTGAAACCTTTTTGGATCATGTAACTGTCAACGGTAATGCAATAATTTTCTATTCAGGATACACAAGAACAGGAAATATGTAAATAATAAATATTTTCCATTGCAGGTTTGGGGAAAGTTTTGTTTTGGAGATCAGCCACTAACAATTCATATAATCCTCCTTGCTTTTAAAACATAAATGAGCCTAAAAAATTAGCCTCTGAAGTGAGTCTCACAAAATGTGAGCTCACTGATAGAATTTGATCGGACGCCATTTCTGTCTTCTGTTTATATATTCATTATAATTAGTTATTCATGATCATTTTAATTCACAAATCTAAATAAATATTTATATTTGTGCATTAAAATGATCATGAATAACTAATTGTTTACAAATCTAAATAAATATTTATATTTGTGCATTAAAATATGTATTAATTATAAAACATTTATATATATATGTACATGTATAATGTATATATATACATGTATAATGTATATATATATATATATATATATAATATATATATATATATATATACACACACACATTAAAGAATGAGTAAACAATGACAACACTAATGTCACACACACGCATATACTGTACATACACTTCTCACAAAAAGTTAGGGATATTCAACTTTTGGATAAAATTTATGGAAAATGTAAAAAGTTACAGTGATATTATATCATGAAAGTAGGGCATTTAAGTAGAAGCATGAAATGGTAATTTCTCAATATAACAAAGAGTGAAAAATTTAAGGGGGTCTGAATACTTTCCGTACCCACTGTATATATATATATATGAGCTCTTGTTATAATCGGATTGGACTGCCTTTTTTTCTAGTCACCTTTATTAATATTTAGTTTCTGTATAGAGTTATGTTTTAATGTAGTCATGCAGGAGAATATCCTTCAGATGTGCAAGGACAAGTAAGTTATTATAATTGAGTTTTCTAGCTCCTGACCTGTTCTTTCTTTCTCTTTCATGTGAGAAGAATAAAGTGGGAGTGTGAGAGGAGGAACAGAGCAGAAAGAAGAGGGATCTACAATGGCAGCAGAAGAGAAGCCTGCTGCGAAGAGCAGTAGCTCCATTGTACCATGCTTCCTATTTGTGGAGGTGAGTTATCCTACAGCCTTAACCCACAACCGTAACCCTAACCATAATCCAGAGTTTATCAAGTTAGATCAGGAAGTTTTATGAACTCTGAATGGGCTCACAGCGAAAGATGTGAGGTTATGTCATGACCTGAAAGGAAGTGAAGCTCAGATCAATACCATCAATGTTGTTAATGATATAGAGAGAAGCTACACTCCAGCTATTAGCTTTGTATTGATTCAGATCAGTTTTACATGTGATTTTGCATGTCATTGTTAACCGTACTTGAAGAAAACAGACCACATTGTCTTTTCTAAATGAATAATTTAAAAAACAAACAGATATATATTGCATTTTTAGTAAATGTGATCAGTTCTCGCTCTGTCTATATGAATAAATATAAACATACATTTATTTTATTAAAATACAGTTAAAATAGTTTAAAGTTCTATTTTAATATATTTTATAATAATTTATATAATTTAATTCATAATTTCTTTTGACAAAGCAGCAGTCATTATATATATATATATATATATGTACATGTATGAATGTATAGCAGTCATAGTGTATATGTATATATAATTTTTTTTACATAATTGTTTCATTTTCTTGTGCTGATAACAATGAGAAAAATGATAGAATTATATGATTCAGGCTGTTTAAGGAAGAAAAGTGTGTGTGTGTGTGTGTGTGTGTGTGTGCATGCTCGTGTGCACTAATGTTGCGTGTGCATCACAAACACATCACGACACTTGCCTCCACTGTTGTTACTATGGATACCAATGAGCTGGATCTCTATCCTGAGTCTGTATTCTTCTTTTGCTATATCATTTTTAGATGCTTTCTCTCCCAGATGTGTAAATATTCTCTTTGCTGCCTTCTTCAGCTTTCTTGCAGTAATATGCCCGCACATGCATTCACACATAAACAGTATTGTGCACTTGTAGCATACATATATGATTACTTGTTAAGCCACAATGATTTATTTATTTATTTGTTGTGTAGCACGTTCAACTATTGCTATGACTCACTCTAGCAAGGCAAAGCAAAAGGCTGAGAATATGAAAGAAACATAACTTTACAACTTAATGAGGGAAATCTAAGCCCTGGCCCTCTCGATGCTTCTCAGAAAAATAAAGACTATCGATAAATATTATATAATAATTTATATTATTAAAAAGTGCTGCTCTTTTATCATACTATAAAGCAAAAAGTGACCATGAACACACAAAAAAAAGACAAAAACAACTCTTCAAAGTCTTCAAAAGTCAAACAGTATTTTTGTTACTGTGAGCTTGTGCAAATCATTATTCACTGACTATCTTTCTCTCTGCTGTATCTCAGATATTGTATCAGTGATGATGGCAAATATAGTAAATTTTGAAATATGAAGTTGTGGCTTTTGCCTCATATTTGCCTTGTACTTCCTATAAAATCCAGTAGAGGGCACAACATTTCAGCAGGTGCTTTAATAACTTTGAAGAGAGTAAAAACTGTATTCACATCAGTTTGGTTTATATTTAAAGGGGTCATATGATGCTGCTAAAAAGAACATTATTTTGTGTATTTGGTGTAATGAAATGTGTTTATGCGGTTTAAGGTTAAAAAAAAACACATTATTTTCCACATACTGTACATTATTGTTTCTTCTCTATGCCCCGCCTTTCTGAAACGCATCGATTTTTACAAAGCTCATCGGTCTGAAAAAGCGAGGTGTGCTCTGATTGGTCAGCTATCCAGTGCGTTGTGATTGGCCGAATTCCTCAAGCGTGTGACAGAAATGTTACGTCCATTACTATATTGAGATGCCTGCGGCAACCACATGTGACGACCCCGGGCTGGACTCCGCTTCATCCACGGTGAAAGCCGATCCGGCGATCCACAGCGCAAAGTTGAAGTATTTCCTCAGCGACCAGCACGGATCAGCTCCAGGCATGACGAAGCGATATCGTCCTCTTTTGGAAGGCCAAACAAAGTAGTTTCGCTTTCACAACGAAACACAGCGCCTTCACGACATGGTGGCGGCGGCAACAATACTACAGTGAGAATAAAAGTTACGCCTTCTTTCTTTGCGTGAACATTTGGGCGGCGTTATGCAAATCTTCCCACATCGTGACGTAGACATGTGGGGGCGTGTTAGAACGAGCCATTTTAGGTAGGCGTGGTTGACTCTTAACTTTTATAAAGAATATCTCTTTGGATTTGAGACTTTAGTCTTTGCAACTTTACAGATCTTCTTTATACACCAAGAGCTTGTAACACTCCAAAGAGAAAGGAAAAATTTAAATCGCATCATATGACCCCTTTAAATAATAAATATTCTCAACTTGAGGTGAAATCATTCATTAGTTTATCTATGGATATGAAGGTTTGTTTGTGTGTATCTGTGGGTCTGGTTTTGCTTATATTGTGGTAAGCAAATATCCATAAAGATAGTAAAACCTGATATTAGCTACATTGTTATGAGGGAAATGGTTTAAAATGTGCTTTAAAAAGCATTAAATATTAAACAAGCAAAATTTGAAAAGTAAAGGTAATACATCTCACCATCAGTCGATTTTGTTTTGTAGTGAGCGATAGCCCATCTAGTCTCTCTGGCTCCTTTGATAGCAGCATGGAGATCTACAAAGGTGCTGGAAAATGAAAGGAATAAAAATTGTTTGACACTTGAACTGGCAGGTCGCAGATGAGCATTGTGGGAGCTGTGCAGTTTGACTCAGTAGGAGGATAAAAGACTAACAGCGGGAAGGCAGAGAAAAAGTGTTGCTCTTGATGGATGAAAGAAGAGTAGAGAAGACTTTTCTACAAGTGATGAAGAGCGGCACAACTTGGCAGCGTCCTACATGACTTGAATTTGCTGGAGTGGCTTCTCAGCGGGATAATGTTTATTTACAGCTGAGAATCTACTGCACACATGCTGAAACACAGACTAATAACAGACTGATCACACAGAACTGCACTATCCTGCATCTACGGCTGTGGTCTCTTAACAAGCCGCTAATTGTGAAGCAACAACAAACCTGTTGAAACATTACTCATTTTGTGCAGTAAATGCTTGAATTCTAATTTAATTAAGACTGTTGGATCTATCTATCTGATCTGATAGATAGATAGGTTTACTGATCTTAACTGGTTTAAGATGGTCTCCCAAACTTACCAAGCTGGTTTTCAGCTAGAAAAGTGTCCAAAACCAGCCCCGCCTAAAGACATTTGGAGAGCAGCTAAGACTGTATTTATTAAAGATAATATTTTTGAATCCATCCATCATCACAGAGTACAAGTATGGTACATGGCATCCTTTGGTGCGGTTTAGTTCTGCTCATCAGGCAGAATAAAAGCCCTTAATGAGCTATGAATAAGAGGAGAGATGTACGGTGGCCGAGAAGTGCAAAGCAAATCACAATTCTGAAAACAAAATAACAAATTACAAACGCAAATGCAAGTCTAAAAAACAAAATAACAATTCAGAAAGCACAACAACAATTCAGAAAACATTATAACAAGTCAGAAAACACAATGACAAATTCGAAAACAAAATAACAAGTCAGAAAACACAACGACAAATCCGAAAACACATTTACAAGTCAGAAAACACAACGACAAATCAGAAAAACCGGAAAAGGTAGGTATAGTTTGAGACAGCGCCATTGGTTTGGGATTACTCACCGCTGACTGGACGAGACATCTGTCAATCAACGTATACAGG